ACTGGGTAATTCATTGATGAAACTTCTTTGGTCATGGAGGGATTCCAACACCAAGTATGAGTGTAGTGACAAGTCTAGCTAAGGGAAAAAAGAGGTTAGGAAAGAGTAGCTTGTAAAATTCACAAAAGTGTTAAAACCATTTGGTATTATTACCAAAAAAAAAAATCTAGATAAGAGAAAATAAAATGTCTAGAAGCTCATTGTAACTTCTTTTTTGCAAACAAATTTGCAAAATTTTACAATTTTTGATTTTCTAAGCTATCAGTTTATGCTAATATATGTCCTCCTTAATTATAGCAGTAATAAAACATTAAAACAGATTATAGTCAGTTACAAGTGACAGAATGAGAATGGGGGGGGGGGGGCAACTGCAATGGGTCCAGTTTTAAATTGCCCCAGATATCTTCCAGGGACTGCACAGGCTTCTAAAAATGTCAAAACAAAATAAAAACAAAAACATCAATACCAGGAGTGGCCAGAAGCCTGTTAGAATTAGCAACCTTTGCATGCCTATACTCACAATAGTTTGTATGTATCTCTATGGGAGTTTAAGCACAGCTTATATTTAGGATGACTTCCTGTTTGCTTGTTTGATCACACTTATCTCTTTTACTGTATCACTCTACCCTTCCATTTTCTTCTTCCCCTTTCTTATCCTTTAGACCATATTTTTCACTATGGACCTATTTTTGCAAGTAAATCAATCTGTATATGTTTTACAAAATACAAGCTTATTTTTCTGCTAGACTCTGTTGCTTGCAGGCTGTGGAACTGGATGTTGTTCAGCTTCTACCTTACCAATCCAACTACTCTGCTTGAGTGATCCAGGACTATCTCTCACATTTCCCAACAAAAAGTCTTATCTCATGAGAAAATAAAGCAGAAACAGAGCCTAAGAGCAGTGGTTTCCCCCCATGATTTACTGCATAACATTGTAGCACTTCAGTCTCTTCCCATGACAGAGACTTGTAAAAGCATGTCTTTTGTCAAATGGATTTCTTTAGCTACACAACAAACATGCTGTTAAAACTGTCTCTTATGGGGAAAAAAACTGAAGCATTACAATGTCATATGATAAGACACAGAGAAAGCCACTATTCTCCAAGCTCTGTTCCTGCTTTCTTTTCTCATGCAATAAGGCTCCAAGTTTACTGCAGCTCTTTTTTTAAAAAAGGGGCATTTTAAAAACATGTGAAATGGTATGGGGGTTATATCTGCAACCTATTGCAAAGTTATTTGCTACTCCTGTAAACTTGTAGAAGTGTTCCAGGGAGCCTGTAAGGGTCAACAGCTGCAAAAACATCCTTGTGGACTGCATGCCAGGTTTTCTGTGGCCAAAGCCCAAAATAATGTCAACAGGGGAAATCAGTGCTAGTAGAATTTCCTTAGTGGTTCCAGTTGTACTAGCAGCAGTTGTTCTTGTGGCCCTAAACTGTAGGCATGCTGCTGAATGTGGCATTGGTTACACTGCTACTTGTGCAAGTAAGTGTGTATCTTGATGCACAACTGGCAACTATTGGATTCCCTCATTGCTTATAACCCAGCACCAGATCTCTATGAGCATTGATACCATTGAAAATTGACTCCAGAAGCTATTGCAACTGATTAAATTTTTAAAAAAGATTTCAAGTGTTCTGCTTTTGAGTATGATTTTTGTAAAGTGTCTACAAATAATTTGGGTGGGGTTGGGAGGACTTCTCTGGAAGCATGTCTTTATGTAGAGCATTTATATTTGCTTGGATAAGGAAAGAGATTTTCTCAGAAACAAAAAAAAATCCCTTATCTTGTCTGATCCTCATGAGTGTACCTTCATAGGGGAAAGCAAAACTAGGGGATTACTCCCCCAATAATAATTCTTTCCACCTTCAATGACATTTTCCCCAGATTTCTAGCCTTGCAGTAGCCTTAACATTAGAAATATAGTTATAAAGGATAGGAGCAGATTTACCAAGGAAATGTGAACACAACAAATATAGGAATGCTAAGTGTGAATAGTTTTCAGTGTCTCATTCTTGGCAAAGTGACAAATGTTGGGACTGAAGGGGGGATCATTGGGGTAGGCATGCCCCCATTTTGCCCTCCTGCTAGTTCTCCAGAAATTGTTGGGAAAGTATCTAACCTGATTTAATATTGTTGATAACATTTTTCTTGTGGCCCAGTAGTACAGTGGTTAAAGGGAACAAATATAGTGAAAAATGTATTCTAGCACTTGCTTCAGTAATGTCAGCAGTGGTGTGATGGGACAGTGGAAATGAAATTTGGGGAAGTCACGTGCTCTCAGCTTCAGGGGAAGGCAATGGCAAACCTCCTCTGAACTAATATTGCCAAGATAACCCATGTTAGGTTTGCCTTAAAGGTAAAGGTAAAGCTAGGCCCTTGACATAAGTGTCTAGTTGTAACCAACTGTAGGGGGGCAGTGCTCATCTCTATTAGTAAGCTGAAGAGCCAGCATTGTCTGAGGACTGCTCTGTTGGTAGTCAGAAATGACCTGAAGGCACACAGCAACAACCACAACCTACTATCCATTTTCTACCCCAACCCTGGTCACCAGTTGACAGCTAGACTTTACTGGACTTCATTGTGTTTATTCCTATTAGGACTAGAAAATGCTACCTGCCATGTTCTGTTTTCTTCCTTTGGCATAGTTATCCTTTTCTCCACGACCCCCATGAAGTATCTAATGAAGTATTTTCTTTTGTAGGGGATGCAGTGGCTCAAGTGGTTAAGACACTGACTCTGCTGATTACAACATCAGCATGTTGGCAGTTCAAGGCCCGGGTGCCGCATGATGGAGTGAGCTCCTGTCACTAGTCCCAGCTTCTGCCAACCTAGCAGTTTGAAAACTTGCAAATGCAAGTAGATAAATATGTACTACTTTGGTGAAAGGTAAATAGCGTTCTGTACAATCATGCTGGCCACATGATCATAGAGTAGTCTCTGACAACGCTGGCTCTTTGGCTTAGTAACAGAGATGTGCACAGACCCCTATGGATGGACATGACTTGACAACCTTGTCAACGGAGAATACTTTACTTTTATTTTCTTTTGTGGTATGGCTGAAGAACAGGACTCCTGTACTGTTTTGCATTAGTGAAGATTTAGACAAGAGTGGGAAAAGCCTTCCCTCTTCTTCTCTGCAGTGCTCACTCTAGGATTTGATGGGCCTTTTGTTATGGTACCTATAATGACATTCCTCCAATCTGGAAGACGAAGAACGTGCAAACTGAGAATTCTCGTAAGTGGTATCTATTCTTCTTGGGTACTCTGTGTAAGGGGGAAACACCCAATAATTTTAGGACAATGGACTAGTGATGTCTCTCATATGAGCGGGGTGGTGAATCCATGCCAAGGTTTGGTCCAAACTTTAAAGAGGCTGTCCAGGATGGTGAAACTATTTTGCAGCTAGATCTCAGCATCTTAGTCAAGGTTTTTAAAGTTCAGACTAAAACTTGGAATGGATTCACTGCCCTACTGACATGGAAGGTAAACACCTGCCACTTTACTGGACCTCCTCCTGGGCTCCTGACAAATGCCCAGTGTTCCCCCATTTTAGATGCATGGACTATCTACCTCCACAATCATGATAGCCCTCAGTATTTCTTTTATCTTGGGATTAATCACTCGCACACCCATGTGATATAAGACTTTCAGTGAGCTCTTGAAGTGAAGGTGCTACTTTTTGTAATTGCTCTCATTACTGTACTTTACTGAACATTGCTTTTGATGATTACTTGAGCGATGCAAGTAATGCTCTTTGAAGATTCCCAGATAAAAAGAAAGACAGACTTATCAGAAGAAAGGTAACTAATCATTATACTAGGTTCCATCCATTGCTGTTAACACATATTTTTGCTATGTGTGTGTTTGAAATGTGATGTAAAACAAGAACTGTACAGTTAATTTATTGATCAATATAGTTTTCTATCTATTACTACTACTGTTGGCATTTCTTCCACTTTTAAAGGCTTACATAGTTCCAACAGTACACACAAGAAATGGGTTTAAGAGAACTTGGCATTTGCAAGTGATATCCATGTGTATTTAATCTTTTATTTGTTCCTTCCAACATTTCTAACATATTTTACTGAACATACACACAATTAAGTATGGCAAATACTCTATACAAAGGTGATAATGCAAGGTAAAATAATGGAAAATGAATACATCCAGAAAATTTTGTAAACCATCACAACATAGTGTTAAATTTAGCTTTTCTTGGAAATGAAAGCCTTCTTTCTCTCTCTGTGTGTGTTTTAAAATAACACAAAGAAGCTCCATGTAATAAGGAGTTCTGCACATTGCTCTAGAGAGCTAGTGTGGTATAGTGGCTTTAGCATTGGACTACGACTCTGGAGATCAGGGCTGAAGTCCCTGCTTGGCCATGGAAACCAACTGAAAGACCTTGGACAAGTCACATACTCTAAAGTGGAATCTTTAGCCAGATTAGCTGCCAGGGGTCCATGGGCCATTGTGCTATTCTTTTCTTTTTCTGGACCAAGATTCTGAATAGCACAAGGCAGCTATATCTAGCCAATCTTTTCTGTTTTCCACAATACCTGTGAACTAGTATCAAGAGTACTTGCAAATGTTCTCATTATTGATATGAAAGTCTTAACAGATTGAAACAGGCAACAGGAAAATGACACAAAATATTGTTCTCTTTTTGCATTCTGAAATTATTATTATTATTATTATTATTATTATTATTATTACTATTGCAATAATCATTTCTGCACGAAACATGAATTTCCTTTTTTAAAAAAGACAGGCTTATCTCATAAAATAGTGTATTTTTCTCAGTGGTCTCACTGTTTTGTCAGAACAGTGGTCTATGGATTCATCTCAGCTAGAGGTTGTTGTTATGTCCCTTCAAATTGACTCCTACCTATGACAACTCTAGTCTAGGATTTTCTTGGCAAAATTTATGCAGAGGAAGTTTACCACCGGCTTCCTCTGATACTGTGAGAGTATGACTTGCTGAAGGAAACAGTGAGTTTTCATGACTGAACAGGAATTTGAACCCTGATTTCAGGATTCTGTCCAACACTCAAACCACTAAACCACACTGACTGTCAGAAAAACATGTTAATGTTATGTAGCTTCTAACTTAGCTGATTCTAACTTAAGGTGATTCTGTTCTAGGTTTTCCTTGCCAAGATTTATTCAGAGTATATTTGCCATTGCCTTTCTCTTAGGCAGAGAGAGTATGTCTTTTGCAAAACTATTTAGTCAGTGTCCATTGCTGAGCAGGGATTTAAACTGTGATCTATTCTACAATGCTAGCTAGAGTAGTGTAAAGTAAACTACTCTACAATGCTAGCTAGAGTAGAGTAGAGTAAACATTAAATAATTAAATCAATTGTTGAATCAGTCAACATGTGTCTAAATCTCATTGCTTTAATAGGGCTCTTTTAACTGAGATTAACATTAGGATTCAGACCATTTGTAACCTTGATTTTTCACACAAAGGTCCCACAGTGCAAAACATCCTCCCAGATTCCTAAAATGTTTAATAAATCACCTAGCATGGAAAAACCTTTCAAAGTTATTCTTTCTGTAAGAGATAGGAATAAGCAAAGATTTATATCTCTCCAATGAAACCTATTCTCCCCCTCATTGCTAAATGTTGCTCCATAACTAGGGTATCCCAAAGCTATCAACCTTGAACTTTTCCAAAACTTATTGCCTTGGAACATCCTAAAACATTTTCAAGGCCAGTACAATCAGCAAAAGGAGATTATTCCTCATAATCATTTCAAATTTGCATGTCCAAGTAAGTATTCTTTCTTTCTTTCTTTCTTTCTTTCTTTCTTTCTTTCTTTCTTTCTTTTTTTAAAAAAGAGAAATTAGAGTTAGTATAGTGCTCCCTCCAATATTTTCCCATTTTAGTTTTTGGTAGGTTTTTATTTTCTACTTTTCTATTTCTTCTCCCCTGGTAATTCAGATCAAGCTGTCCATTTGGAGAGTGATACATTTGCTCATGGTGATTTAAAATTATTGCATAACATTATAATGAAAAGTCAACTTCTCATTTTTCCCCAAGTCCAGCTATTTTAGAGACTAAAGATAAACATTTATGGAATTAATATGAGTTTTCTTTGATATGTGCATGTAAGAACTTTGCCACTGTCTTCAACACAGGATGAAACAATTTATAAATGGGGATTGGAAGTGGAATATGTTGAAATTACTGCAGGATTAATATGAACTGCAAAATATCTGTTATGAGCAACTTCTTATCTAAAACAGAACTTCTTCCAGGACTTTGCTTAGCTCTTCACTGTAACAGGTTAAAAAAGGGGGGGTACTGCTACTGCTGCTGCTACTGTTCTCATGGTGGTATAAAATGGACTGAGCAACTGTGGATGGGGGACACAAAGCCTTTGGGGGGGGATTGGCATATGTGGGGAGTTTGGAGGGTGGAGTGGACAAATAATTGTGTTTTTCACTGCTTTTGAGCCATTTGGGTCTTTGGGAAGGCATAAAAAAGAGCTCAATTTCTTTTCAGAAACAATTGGAGGGTTAGAAGGTCTTAGGGGGGACTTCAGGTACCATACTATGGTGTCCCAAAGGCTATATTGGGCTGCACCCATGGGCTGCCCACCCTGGTATAAAAGAAAGATTCTTGACTTTGTATATACAGTGGTACCTGTATATACAGAATTTTCTGTTACTCCAGAGGGCAAGCATGGATGCAAATTTGTGGAATTTCAGGGACACAAATTTTGGCCAGACTTTTGAAGAAATTTCAGAATGGCAGGAAGTGTTCCAAAATGGAATAGCTTGTACTGGGGATTCCTGGGCTATGCTTCACTGAATATATTTAAATAGGGGATAAATAATAATTTTGTGAGCATGCTACTATTGCATCCTACCTTGCAGATGTGCTGAGTAAGTGATTCAATAAGATGACCTCTAAGGACCTTCCCAACTCTATCATTCTATGAGTGAAGGGTTTTCCTCCTCATTTATTTACTATCATAGTTGTGTTTTCCACACTCCCTATCTAGATGGTAAATTCAAGTATTCTTGCTGCTGCATCCTAAATTTGTACTAATCTAGGCAGGACTGCATTGAAAAGAATTGCTGATCATATAGGTTTAGCCCTGTTTGGGTTTTTTATGAATAGATGGCTAGAGATCACTTTTTATCAGTTGCAGAGCTCAGAGCTTAGAAAAAAAAATAGTTTTTGTGACTACAACTCCCAGAATCCCTTAGATGGCATGGCCAGTGGCTAGGGGATTCTGGGAGCTATAGTCCCCCCCCCATATAAAATTCCCGAGGTCAGATAGTGTTTCTTTGTGTGTTTAGGAATACATCTTTTTCAGGTTTCCCAATAGAAAAGAAAGAATCCTGTGTCCATTTTCAGACTCTGTAATGGATATAGTCCTATTCTTTGTACACTCATGTCATTTCTGAATGGGGATTCTAAACTAGACAATCTTTCCGGTTACTAGAAGATGAGCCATCATAAGCAAACATGAAGCTAGTTTAAAAGCTTTCTCTTAACCACAGAATCCTGTTTCAGACTGACCAACAAAAAACATCTAATCATGAATTTCAAAAGTAAAGGCTGAATGTAATATTTCAAACAGTAGACATAGACAGACTTCGTATTTCCTTCCAAGAGCATTTTGTTTTGTTTTTTCGTTGTTGTTGTTTTTGGGTACAGGTCTCTTTCTTAATTATTCTTGATGTTTTGCCCATTATGCCATTAGCGTCTTCGCAGTACAGAGATAAATAGCTCAGTATCCAGAAGAACAAAGTGTGAACTGAAAGCACTTAATTATTGATATCTTAGTAACTAAGGTTCTGAAATGACGTTGTCAAATCCCATAATGATCAGACAGCAAATTTATCATTTGCTCTAGCCAAACCAGAATGCAGACACAACCAGAAAACATATGCAGCAAACATACTGAGGAGGTATTTATCTCCCCACTTTCTTTCTCCATGGATATTCAAGACCCTCTGAGTGGACAGAATACCGTATGTTTTTCAATTTTCTCCATCCCCCACCTCTATATATTTTTTAAATAAAGCCTTACAAATATTTATTTCCTCCTGTTTCACTTTTCTGATGGTTGGGGCATTTAGAAAGCCACTGTTTTATCACGAGTTATGATCTTCTGATTGGTTGAAATAAAATCAATATTTCTTTGATTACAAAGCCGTTATGGAAGCGAGCCTTGTGTGATCCATCATTGTAAAATGTGGGTTAGAATAGTAGCACACAGGTATATGTTTAATTCATCCTCTTCAGATTATGTGAGTAAGATAAATATTTTCTCTGGGGTAGGGTACCGATAAGCTGCATCTGTTGACCAACTTGGTTTCATCAAAGGATGTAGTATTTTAGTTTTCATGCAGAAATTAAGCACATTTTCAGGCTTTCACTTTCAGATAGAAAGCTTTGGCATGGGACAACGAGTTTACAGGGATGTGAGAAATCAGCTCCATATACCAGTCATTCTCAAAGAATGACTTGTACAACTAGTGCAACACAGAAGTAGGCTAGGTGGGATACTGGATTTTCACTGTAATTTTAAACTACTAATGGAATTATTTTGGTTTGTTTGTGTTGACTCTTGAAAATAACACTACAATTTCTATGTCATCCAATCCTATTGTAAATTATACAAGTAGAATAATGGAGTGTCCAAAACATGAAGTTTCCTTCTGGGGCAGGAGAAGAATTCCTGTCATGGTGGAAGACAGTTTTTTTGATGAGGCAATTTATGAGATGCAAAAGGTTGACCACCATGATCTTACATAACTGGAGAGACTGAAATCTTTGAGAGGCCAGCACTGCCATGACAGATTTGTCACTGGTGTTCTTAACATGTCACTCAATTTCACAAGCTAAATTATTTGGATTTAGGAATATCCAATTTGGGATATTTGGGATAGAGGTAAATGGATTTGGTGATAGCCATTAGCACAAATGAACATACCTAGGACCTTATCACACGCTGGCCACGAAGCGAAAAGTAACCAAAATAAGAATAAATTCAGTTCTGTACCTAAATGAACTGAATTTCACCTGCGCGGCCATTGCGCAATGATTCTGAAAGCTCCCTTGTACTTCCCCGAAAAACCGAATGTCAAAAGATCTCAATTTGTTACGTATTAGCTCCGGGTTCTGTCGAGTTTCGGTGCAACGTCGTGTGTAAACACGGAGAAACAATACGAATTAGCTCCGGGTTCTATCGAGTTTTGGTGTAACGTCATGTGTAAACATGGGGAAATAATATGTATTAGCTATGGATACCCTTTGGATTAGGTCTGCTTTAGACCCCGTGTGATAAGGTCCCTAGTGATGTTTCTATTGCTCCCTCAGCAAACCTTTTTCTTTTTCAGTTTTTTCTGCCAGGTCGCTATTCATTTCTGTTCTAGTTTATTCTGCCAGGGGATTTTATACCATGGAATTATAGCATTATGATCCTACTTTAACTTGTATGAGTCCATCTTATGGACTCCTTATGGATTTGCAGTTTAGAGAAAGGTACTTGAAATTCTGTGCCAGAGAGCAAACTGAAACCCAGGATTCCATTGGAACATGGAATCATAGTGCTATCACTTTGTCATGTGAAAGGACCACTGAACCTATCTGTCCTAGCACTAGTGCCTTTTTGCTACTGCTGCTGTTAAATGCCTGTTCTACCATCTCAGATATTGTCTTGGTGAGGGCATGTACACAGTCTTTCATTGCTGCTGGAGTAAGACAATACTAATACTAACACTAATTTATTGCAAAGAATGGGGAAGGCTACCTGTGGGATTTTCTGTCTCATGTGTCAAAATAACAACTTGTCTGTCTTTGAGTTTTGTGGATTCACTTGGGTGGAGAGGAACATTTGCTATTCTGATTGTCCTAGATCAGCTCATATTCCTCAGAATATTATCAATGTTTGAAGCAAAAATAGGAGGGAAATGCAGGAGGTATGTGTGAGTTTTGAGAAGCTTTTTAAATAAAAATAGGAAAAAAATGCAGGATGAGCATTTTAAAGGCCATAATATGCAATGCCTAAGTCAGCCAGGATCCATGCAAGAATACAGAAATTATAAAA